CAAGACTCAGGACGCCGGGAAGATGGCTCAGCTGTTGGAGCACACACTGCTCTCTGCAGGGGAACCTGAGTTTGGTTCCCAGCACCCATAGCGAGTGGCTCACAAGCCCCTGTAATTCCAGGTCTACTGCCCTCATCTGGCCTGAGCAGGCACTTGCACTCACATGCATATATACATTAACTAATCTGTGAGAACAATCGCACTGGCCACCCCAAACCATTGGCAAATGTCTCGGCTGCCGACTTCCCACTCCGCTCCCATTCCCACATAAGCACGGGGCACAGGCTTAACTTTTTGTCTCCCCTGGAAGTCACGCAGCATGCGTCATACATGAAAGTGCAGCTGGTACTTCCTGATGCCTAGGATTCGGTACCACACCTTGCGGAAAGCCTTCAGACAGCGATTCCAAGAACTCTACCTCTGTGGCTCCAGCTGCGCGGACAGGAACAAAGCTGATGGGGTAGGATTCAAGTCCTGGAAGGAAGAACTGAAGCCCCAGCACCAACAGATGCAGACACAGAGAACAGAACAGATGCAGAGGTGTCAGCACTCGGTCTGGGGCCAAGAACTAGCTATACCTAAGATGTGACCTAGCTGTCTGCGTTTGTGACAGGCAACAAGGAGGAGACCGAGGCGGGTAAGGTGCCTGGGAACCCACGGGCCCGTTAGCTCCACGCACAGAGTGACTTTGGGGTCCAAATCTGGGCCTGGTGCACAGCAGGTGTCTTCTTTGGGTTTTATGATGCAAAGAGACACATGACCATGGCAACCTTTATAAAGGAGAACATTTAATTGGGTCTGGCTTACAGGTTCAGGGGTTTAGTGCATTATCATTGTGGTGGGAAGCATGGCAGCGTGCAGGCAGCGTGCAGGCAGGCGCTGGAGAGGAAGCTGAGATTCTACATCCTGATCCACAGGCAGCAGAAGGAGACTGTGTGCCACACTGGGCATAGCTTGAGCATAGGAGACCTCAAGGCCCACCTCCACAATGACACACTTCCTCCAACAAGGCCATGCCTCCTAACAGTGTCACTCCCTGTGGCCAAGCTTTCGAACACATAAACCTACGGGGGCCATCCCTATTCAAACCACCACGGCAGGCGTGCACTCTGCCGGGAAGCAAGCCACATTCCCAAAGTGTACTTTGAACGGCATTGTTGGTCTGTGGGGACCAGCACTGAGTGAAAAGCTCATTTCTAATAGCTGTGTATAGGTAGTGAATTATTGTTTTCTCATTCATATGTGGCCAGAACATCAACTAACGCCTGACTCACTGGAAATTAACACATCTAGAGCCCTAGGCTCACTGCACCCGTCTCCTGTACAGCATGGCTCCTGTGTTCTACTTTTGACTCCAGGAGCCACGTTGGTCATGGGCTTCTCCTCAAACCTAAAGTCTCCACATGGGAAGGTTTTCAATGGTGTGTTATGGTTAAAAGCCCCTCTTTACAAAGCTTCACGGGGTACCACATTCTATACATTAATGCCTGGGATTACAGCAATAAGCAGGGATATAACTTCTGTCTTGAACTATTTTGTTCCCTTAGAGTTCTCTCGATACTTGTTAACTCATCAAAAAGTTATGATCAGCAAAGTTTTGACAGATAGAGGCCGGACAAAGTCTTTCTGGAGTCAAACCCTTTTATATTCAAGTCAGAGCCACATTTCATATTGAATGATCAGCATTTTTAGGTTTCGGTAGCTGCTGGATGTCAAATGTATTCAACTTATTACATCAGTTGTGGTAAACTGTTTTTCTCCTGAATTCTCTGAGGAGGGAGAAAAGAACCAGGCAAGTTTGCTGAATGCAACAGCAGTGAAGAGTAAAACTGGACAGGCACTGTCACACTGGAGTCCGGGTACACATTTACCTCTAGGTAAATGTGTACAGGTGTGGCATGCACATGGAGACAAGCTGTGCACAGCTTTGTGGGAGCTCAGCTCGCATAAGCAGGGCTGAAGCTTACCTGACAGCCTCGCTCGGCCTCAACAAGTTCCTGGTTTCTGAAAAATGGCGGCACACACCAAAGGGACCGCTGAGGGGACGTAGAGCAAGGTCCAAAGTCAGACAAACTAGGACCCCATAAACTCCATGATGATGACAAAGCAGAGCAAAGCTGGGTGTGTTGGCGCACCCCTTAGTGCTGGTTGAAGTCTCCCTGTCCACCAGCAAAGACCATTAAGTACCAGGTTTCAGAGGCCACAGTGGACACAGCAGCCACCCAGGGCCGAGGCACACAGTTGAATCCCTCCATGCTGTTCCTTTCCACTCCCTGGGGACAGGAGTCTCAGCTTCTAAAGAACTCAAAGCTGACTTAAAATCCGAGAGCCTCTCCACACATTTCTGTCTTAGCTTGTTCTTAGCAGACACAGGAACTAGCAAGGTGGAAGAACTTGGGCCCTGATAATCCCTCTGCCCATGTTTCCTTGTACACTCGTGCTCGTGCTCGCACACACTCACATGCATGCTCGCGCACACACACACACACACACATACACACACACACACACGCACGCACGCACACACACACATTTAATTGTTTTCTTAGAGGCTTATCTGATTCTCGGCTTGTCTGGAGTGCTGCTGGCTGCTGACGGCTGACCGTGGCTGTTGGCCTGACACGGCTGGGAAGAGAGCCCCTCAGCTGGAGAATTCCCAGCACCAGATGCGCCTGTGGGTGTCTGTGGCACTTTCTTGATTGCCGACTGATGCGGAGGCCCAGCCCACTGTGGCTGGAACCACCCCTGGGTGAGCAGACCAGGCCTCATAGAAAGGTAGCCGCTGCGGAAGCCAGAGGGAGCCGGGCAGCATCCTCCAGTCTCTGCTTCAGTGTGCGGCTCCTGCCTTGGCTCCTCAGTGATGGACAGTGACCTGCACGCCCAGGAAATCCTTTCTTCCCTCAGGCTGCCCCGGGTCAGCGTCTCGCCACAGCACCAGACTACGGCACGTGCTACATTCTATTCCTTTTTCCTCTTTTTTCTCTTTTTCATGTTTGGCCGGTCACTTTGTGTGTCTGTATTTCTGTGACGGGATGTGCCTGGTGCCCTCAGAGGCCAGAAAACGGTGTCAGATCTCCCGGAGTTGTAGACAGTGTAAGCTGTCATGTGGGTGCCGGGAATCGAACCTGGGTCTTCCGGCAGAGCAGCCCGTGTCCGTATCCACGGAGTCACCTCTCTAGCCTCTACCTTCCACTTCATCGCCACCGTCGCTGTTATTTTATTATCACTATTGTAATGTGTGTGGCAGGCATGAGTGTGTGCACGTATGCACTTTTGCATGTGTATGCACGCACGGAGTTTTCTAGACCAAAGAGGAAAGAAGGAAGAGAGAGGGAGGCTGAGCTCGAGCGGGAGAAAGGATAATTAAGTCCGAGAGGCGCTAAAACAGTCCGCCATGCTCCTCCCTCTCCCTCTGGAGCACCGAGTGTGGATCTGTGTGTCAAACTGGAGGCTTGTCAGAAGAAACGATGTTGACCTAATTGTTCTGCTTGGGGACCACGGGCACCGTGAAGTCGGCCAACCAGCAGCACTGCACCAAGGGCTCACGGGAAATCGGCAAACTGGCAGCAGTGCCCTAAGGCTCACATGAGGATGCTGCAAATCCTAATTAGCGTATACTAAGGTGTGGAAGGTTCTCTTCCTGCTAAACTTACACTGACCGTGTTGACTTTAGTGAGTTGTTGTTAGAACAGTGCTAACCCATTGGAACTGAAGTGGGTGTTTTCATTAGTACAGCAAACACCAATGTGCGTGTGCCTCCATGCACGGCTGCCCCTCTGCTTGCAGACGCGTGCTCTGAGGCAGTCTCTCCCTGCTCTGAACCCACCCAGTAGCCAGGCCGCCTGGCCAACGAGCCCCAGGGGTCCCAACTCTGAGGTTACAAGTGTTTGCCACCGAGTCCAGCTTTTCACATTGGTTCCGGGGGCTGAACGAACACTTGCGTGGCAAGAACTTTAGCGACAGAGCCATGTCACCTGCCCCTCTACGGCAGGGTTCTGAAGCAAAGCCCTTCCTATTGACAACCACCATTCCATCCCTTTTCTTTTCACACTTCATGCTAAGGGAAAAGGATTCAATCCCAGCAGACCTTCTGGAATTAGAAAGCGCGTGTATCTGCCACCAAAGCTCAAGCCTCGGCAGTGCTGAACGGCACAGGATCAGCACTTCTGGAAATACTCCACAGACAGGCCAAGGCACTTCTCTACACGATCTGCGTGATGCTTAGCGCAAGAGAACAGGTAGCTGGCTTTCAAGATGAAAAGCTTCTCAAGAGTCCTATTTTATATGTAAGCCTATCACCGTGGGTATTAAAACGCTGCTGGCTGCCACTTAATGAGCACCGGCCTGTCGATTTTAATAACCAACTGACACTCTATGTGTTGGTATTTCTATGACTATCAGCTGCGCATTTGTTAATGCAGCTAAGAACAGAAACAGCTCCTCCCTTTACTTAGAACAATACTATTATCTCATAATACTCGGCTTAATACCATAAAAATAACACAAACACGGAATTAGAACTTAGAAAACGCATGCCAGCACATACAGACACTCTCTGCAAGCCGTGGCACCGTCCGTGACATCTGGACAACGCATCTCAGTCTTCCTCACCTCGCGGGGTCAGATTCAGGCGTTCAGCGAGGCAGTGGAGTACTGCACGCCCAGGACCTGGGTCACAGGGAAGTCTCTCAGCCCAACAGCCCATCAGAACCCACGAAGACAACATGCACGACCAAGACAGACTGCTGCACCATGAATAAGACACACATCGGGCCCCTGCAGTCGAGAGGGTCCAACCCCAGACACGGAAGGAAACGCCGTAACACCGCAATGACGCAGCTGCCCTGAGGAACACCCAGTTGTTACAGCCAGGAGGAAGCGCTTGCATAGTGGTCTGTTACAGTCCATCCTGCAGCATTCTGGAAATTTTACTTTCTTTCAAAAAATAACTGAATAAACAGACAAGTCTACTTTCACGTGCTGAACACTGAAAAGACTACCTCCTCCACGAAGCTGTCCTTCTTCTCCAGCATCTCCCGCAGCGTCTGGAGGATTTTAATGCACAGCTTTTCCTCTTTCTCCATCAGTTTCTTCGTGTGATTAATCAGCCTGAAAACAAAACATTACATCTTAAAAGGACACCAAGTTCTCATGCTGTGTGGACTGGACACGTGACGTCACAAGTCTCAGAACTCTGTATCAGCGTATAGATTCTGCAGAGGTATTTCTATGTCCAGTGCTCCTCGGATTCAGCATGCTCTCAAGTGGGCTGTGGCACTCTGAGAAACAGGGAAGTAACACCCCATCCATCCTCTTTGCTAGTGTGAAGATCGCAGCGTGCTATACACCACATCATGTATGAGTTCCTACGCGTTATATCACGCTAATTACACATCACAGACGGCGTGATGCCACAGTGCAGCAGGCTCCACATTCCACGCATGAGCACTGGCAGACACGAGCACCTGCTGTGGTTAGAAGGAACGGAGCGGCATCAAGATGGCCGATCCCTGCTACAATGCGGATGAGACACAGCCCTTTCTTCTACCGTGAAGTGCGCACCGGGGTCTAGAAGACTCAGAACCACGGGCGCAACCACCCAAGAGTCAGCTCCAGGTGGAACATTTATGACCAGGACATGTAACTCAGCCCCCATAGACTGCATTGCCAAGAAACTGGTCCTTCACGCCCCTGTGAGACACGCATTCCTAGAGGAACAGCGAGATGCAGCCTGAAAATGACAGATTCCTGCAGCACAGCAAAAGCACTATGGGATATAACTGTCCACTTAGAATGGAGCCACGGGACGGAACGAGGACTGCTTCCTCCGCTAGTGCCCAGCTAGCGCTCTCAGCCATCAGAGTGAGGAAGGGACCTCCCTGGGACTCTCTGGGCTCATCCTCCCCACAAGGCAGAGTCAGCTACATAACCAGGCTGCTTACTGAGGCGGAAGGTGGATCAGTCAGAGGACACAACATGCTCCCGGTGACACAATCCTAGCGGGACACCTGGAGATGGACTTCAAGCTCACACCCCTGTGAGGGCTGCAATCCACCACCCGACCTCTGGGGCTTCAGGACAGAGTCCCAGCAGGCAACAGGCTGCCCACAGCCATCCAGCGTGACAAGTGCCGCTGAAGTCTAAACAGTGGTACTAAAAAAGCCAGTAAGCTAGGCAAAAACAAAACAACAACAAAAACGTTATTTTGTTCCAGGGATTTCCTAGAGTTGGTCGAGAAGGCATCAGAGAGATGGCACTTGAATCAGAAGATGTCCAGGGCCAGGGAGAGGTGGGCCGAGAAGGTCAGGCTGGCCAGGAGAGCGCAGAGAGGAGGTGAGAGTGGGGGCTATGTCCACAAGATGGTGACTAGTGAAAAGGGGCCAGAATGCCCCTCGGGACCTTGATGCTCTGACAGGACGGCGCTGGTGTGTGCGCACGCTGTCCCAGACTCTATCTGCCCTAAGCTCTGCTCTTCTGCTCTCCTTTGCCTGTGTGGACGTGGAAACCCTCGGGTTCCCTGAGAGCGGCGGAGGGTCCTCGAGAAGCAGACAGGTCTCTGGAGGGAAGCGCCCACGCCAGCCTCTTCTCTCCTCCCACTGTGACCAAGCAGGGTTCATGCTCTTCCCCAGGCTGCCCTCCACCCACCCCTGTAGGCCATCCCTCATCAGGAACCACAGGATGGAGTCTCTGGAGGAAGTGGGGAAACTAAGCCAGCCACGGCTGAGGCTTTATTAGCATGCGTGCGCGGCAGTGCCCAGGCCTGGCGTGGCTAGCGACAACACTTTGTCTAGACTTCCTGCTTACAAACGCAGTTCTCGGCTCTTCAGAGAGAGGGGACGGGGTGGAGTGAGGGCGCCACAGTCAACCTGAGCGCCTGGCCGCAAACAGCCCAGGAGCCTCTCACGCGAAGCAAGCCCTCCTCCGCCTGGCGTGGGTCTGTAAGGCACTGCCACGCCGCCTGTCTGCTCTCTCTCCCGTGCACTGCCTCCGTCTTCACCAGGGATTTGGGCTACTTCAGTGACGTCCCTCCCACACCCCGCCTTCACGTCCTGGACCCCTGCTGCCCAGCAGGACCCTGTGCTAACAGCAACCCCCAAGTCTGTGGGGTCGAAGACGGTAGCCCAGTGCAGCCACTGACGACCAGAGACACACCTGAGGGCTGAGCTATCTCACTCCATCAGTCTAAGGTTTAATTTGTGCGGCCAATGTGGGCCTAGAAGCCACCAGCCTGCAGCTCCTTTGTGCGTGTCTTCTCTGGAAGGGATCATCGTGTGTGTTCTGGACTCTGTGAGCCACTGGCAGCATGAAGGCAGGCTGCTGGAGGGGCCCCTCTCCCGCCCTGGCACGGCCCCTGGTGACGCCACTTACTTCGACATGAAGGCTCCACATCTTATCCTGGCATCGCTTCCCTCCGGGAACAGCAGCTCCGGGCTGTACAGCACATCGACGAGCACGGAGAACTCCGCCTGCATCATGGGGCTGAACTGCTGCTCCAGGGAGGCCACGACATCCTGCGGAGAGGCGCAGCGACCACGTGAGCACCCTTCCAGGCGTGGGGGCGGGCCACACAAGCCGGCCTGGCCTGGCCTCCCACAACACCAAATGCTCAGTTTCCGCCTCAGCACAGTGTGGCTTCGTTCGCTCCTATCATCCCCTCCCCACTCTTCCTCTCCCTCTGCCTCTCTCCCTCCCTCTCTCCCCACATCTATGTGTTTTAAAGGGTGTTAAGTTATATATACATGAGAGGAAGGGCACGTGCACCTGAGAGCGGCTACCCATGGAAGCCACAAGAGGGTGTCAGAGTCCCTGAGGCTAGAGTTACCGCCATTGCGAGCTGCCTGACATTGGTGCTAGATCAGGAGGAGAAGTGTGTGTGTGTGTGTGTGTGCGCGCGCGCGCGCGCGCGCTACCCACTGAGCTAGCTCTCCAGCCCTATGTACGCTTTTGAACGAATTCATAAGAGAATGGGCTGGTAGACAGCTGAGCCTTCTGAGGATCATGTGCAAGAAGACTCGGGACTCCACAGACAGTGGAGACACAACCGGGAGTAGATTAGAGCTGTCCACGGCAGCCGCTCAACAACATTCCGTGTGTGTCGCTGGTCACCCAGGGAAAAACCCACTGATTCATATTCACAGCATGTTAGTATACTACGCAGGGTTTGCGGACATTCAACACTCTTCCAAATTACACTTGCTGATAAGCCTGATTGGCCACATTTCCAGCAGGCCCTTCTCACCCTGTTACTTGATAAAAAGAGCCGCAGTGCTATCCCTGAATCAGGCCAAAACTTTCTCAGGGCCTGCTGAGATGGTCGAGAGGAGCCCGGCACTTAGCACCAAGGCCCCACTGCTCATGCCGGCCAAGCTTACTCCGCTCTCCGGGCAGAACACTACGCAGCCCCTACCGTGAGGCACGCACGGCCCGAGAGACCACCGTACCGGCAGGGATAGGAAACTTCACCCCTTCAGCTCTCAAGGTGGCCTTGAGGGCGAGATCCCAAAAATCAGATTAGTCCTGTGTGACATGGGAGGCCAGTCCGAAGCAGAAGCCAGGAAACACTCAGCCTTGGAGAGCTCGCCTACTGAGCTCGCAAATGGCGGCTACAACAGCCGGGTCCCTGAGACCCCGTCTTCAGTTTCCAGGCAGCCTCCCGAGAAACTCTGAAACAGCTAAAATGAAGGAAGTGCTGTGGAGTGGGTGAGGATGCCTAGCAGAAACGGCCATGGCTGCCGAGCCTGGCCTGCAGACCACCCTCTAGCTTCTGCCACGGGGCAGGAGATGCTCAGGCTGTTCTGGGGTGAGGTCTTCCTTCTTGTGACTCAGAACTGGCCCCGTGACATCATGATGCCGGCGGGACACCTAGGTTCGCTGTGGAGACTGAAAGCACCTGCCCAGAGCAGTTCCTGACGCACACCGCCCCTTCCTGTCAGGCGTCAGCCCCCGTCAGCACTGAGTGAGCGTGAGCCGTGAGCGTCACCTGCCTCTCCTGTGGGTGATCACTTCTCCCCCACCTTACCAGGGCTCCACATGGCGACACTTAGCTTCACACGGCCTTCCCCTGGCTTCTGTGATGCCATACTTAACTTCCCAGTATGTCCTGACCCCTTCTTCGCTAAGCCCTGCTTGCTCGTGGTCCTTCTTCCTGCTCCAGCTCCTTCTCCACCAAGACTGCTCATCCCACGCTGTGATTTTACCTCTGTATACATGCTAGAACATTCTGCTTGATACTTCCGTCACACACATCTGTCCACACCACTACAGGCTCACACACCCAGGAACTGCCAGGCTTTGTGCGTGTTTCCTGGTTCACGCTCGGGCCATGTCGCAGTGTCCCGACGTGGTAGAGGACAGACACACTGCGCTAGGTCTACAGTGTCAGAGAAGTGAGCCACTCACGGGGTCCACCCTGCAGATCTAACCACCTCCCCAAAGCCCTGTGTCAGGTCCTGCCTGGGAACAGGCAGAGCCTGAGCTATCTGGGACAAGCCAGGCATCTCACCGGGATAAGGTGAGTTCATGTGAGCCTCTGTCTAATCTGATATGACTGGGTAGTGTCCCCTAGGGGACAGGCCCGCACCCGCACAGAGGACAGACAGGAGAAGCCAGCTGTCCACAACAGCGGGCCCACCAGAAGCCTGGCCCACTGGTACCTAGATCTTAGACGGAGGCCTCCAGAATTGTAACAGAACACATTTCTGCTGTTCAAAGCACCCTGCCTACGGTGTTTCGCTGTGGCAGCCACGGAAATTTGAAGCTATGTGCCATTTGCTCACTGTGCTGAATGTACAGGCCAGACTATGGACAAAGACCTCCACAAACCACGCAAGGGCCTGGGGAAGGGAGCACTGGCTCATTCTGACCAACGGGATACACGTGAATGCTGGCAGGTAAACTGAGTCAGTACTATGAAAACTTAATTTATTACATATATTTTTTACAGTAAACTATTCTTACGAATTTTATTATTGGCATTATAATTATTTTATATCAAGGATCACTACTCACTAAGAAATCATCAAAACACCTCAAATTATCTACCCTCATTAAAAAGTCAACACAATCTACCCAGAAATTACTCATTTAAAGGGTGGTGGTGGCAGATAATTATTTTAAAAAGCTTTACCTCCAATGAAGATTTGATATTTTGTTTTATTTTATTTTATTTTGAGACCTGGTTTCTCTGTGTAGCCCTGGCTGTCCTGGACTCACTCTGTAGACCAGGCTGGCCTCAAACTCAGAGAGATCCACCTGCCTCTTCCTCCCGACTGCTGCGATTAAAGGTGTGCACCACCACCACCCACCCAGAATGTGATATTTTCAACCATACTATACTATAAGACATGTTTTAAGAACACAGAATCTAGAAAATATCGGTGTCACTTCATGTTCTCACCGTACCTGTAACTTCTCAATAATGTTTCTGTAGTCCCAGGCGGGCCCTCCGAGAGCTTCCTTGAAGCGAGGTCCAGAGCGGGCAGAGAGCCTCCAGCCCATGGCTGCTCTCTGCACGGTACTTGAGTGGTTCTTCATGAAGAGGGTGTTCACCTGGCTGTCCAAGTCCACAGGGATCGCAATCCCACGATTTTTGGCTGAAAAGAAAAGGAAAAACGGAAGATGGGAAGCATTGCTCTCTCAATTAGGGTAAAGCCTTTGGAACGTTAGTCAAACACACTAATAAACATGAAAGACTTTAAGAAAGGGAGGAGAGGGAAGTCTAAATCTCACAACTTTCCCATGCAACCATTTCACATACTTTCAGGTGCAAACTGCTGAAGTTATCTCAGTTCTTCAGACCCGTTAGTAATATGTGATCACTGAGCCTTCAAGGTCCTATTTGATTAATGTTTGAGGTGAGGTGTACTTTATTTCAACACCAATATGGAAAAGCACCTGAACAAGCCTGCAAGTCTTTACCTTCCCCAATGCCAAAGAAAATAAAAACCCAGACAGAAAACACACAGCCAAATCCTGCCAAGCTATTGACTTAATTAGAGGGCGTATGTGTGTTTACATGTGTGTGTGTGTGTACCCACAAAACTGCATGTGATCAAATGTTTCTCACAGCAGAAACAGGGAAGGTGGTATGCGGCTCCTGCCTCTTTTCCTGGGACACACTGTCAACCTACCTTACCAGACAATAATACCAAGCATTCGAATGCTTGCGTAAAGAAAACAGAAGCGTTGTGGCATTTCCAGAAGAGGTAACTAGGCCACTGGAGAAGAAAATGTCCCCCAAAAGACTGGACTCAAAGCAGGTCTGCCTGGAGGACAAGGAGTCGGTAGAAGGTGGGACCTGGGGTTCACTGCTGCTGCAGAGCCCTCGTGAATGGTGGGAAGGAAGGCCCTCCTCCCTCTGACCAGCAAAACTGGGAAGGCTGATGCAGCTGCTCTCACCCAGAGGAGAAAGCTGAGAAACAAAGCATTCTCTTAAGAAAGAACACATAACCGCGGAGAGTGCCAGATGCCAGTGTGGAGACTTGGCAGAAGTGACTTCAAAGACCATCAGATAAAGGGTACGTGGCAGCGTGCAAGGGGGCGGGTCCAGGGAGGGAAAGACACAGGAACTCCAACCGCCAAGCAAATCCCCTTCACACTCCATGCTCTTCCTCAGCGTCTCATAAACATGCACGAAGGGAAAGTTCCCAAGCCATTTGCTAAGCCCTTCCCACAGAAACCCCCAGGTCGGCCTTTCTCATTTTGACAAGGATCACAGGCCAGGAGCAGACCTTCTAAACTGCAGTGGGCACTCATGCCACAACCCCTGTCCCACTGTCAGTCCTTACCCATGGTGACAAGGAAGCCCCAGATCACAAATAAAAACATCAGCATGGAGAACAAAGATGTCAGTGAAACAGGTGATTCAGAGAAAGCGAGCAATTTTTAGTCCTAATTACTGTCCCTGGAAAATCTGGGTAGATACCACACCCAAAAACTTTTAAAGAAAGGGAAAAACTCTTGAAAATTAAAATATGCTGGTAAAAATAAACCTTTCAAAGATTAACTGAAAAAGCATAGAAACAAAGTGGCAAACTGGAAAAGACAGCAAGGAGCCTTCTAGAACATAAAGCATAACGACTAAAGGGGAAACAAAGAGATGGTGAAGTGGGAAGGGCCGACCCGGGGAGATACAGACCTGACACATGAAAGTATTAAAGTAACAGACAACTGATTATGCAGAATTACGACCTTCACTGTGGCAGGAGGCGCTCCGCTGGTGAAGTGCCCGCTGCTTGGCTGGCTGGGGTTTGATTCCCATGAGGCTCAGCTGACAGCTGCCCCTCAACTCCAGTCCCTGGGACTCTGATGCCCTCTTCTGGCCACTCAAAGCCCTGCATGCATGTGATGCACATACAGACAAGCAGACATACATGTACACACATAAACTCAAAATAAACCTTTTTAAAGAGAAGTTTCTTGTGTGTGAAGCAAAGTGTCTGGATAAAGGAGCCACTGGCTGTTAGCAGGACTAAATAGGCAGGGGCCACATTCCGGTGAACCTTTAGAATGCTGTCAAAGGGTGAATCGTATCCCCCCAAAGCAAACCTGGTGTGTCTGAGTTATCAGTTCCTGGAAATGTGACCTCATTTAGTAATAGGGTCTTTATAAATGTCATCAAGGTGAAGGTCATTAGGCTCTGCCCTGTCTGCTTTGACTGCTCTGTACCAGAAAGCAGGAAAAGACAGACACACAGAGGCAGAAGCACCACGTAAAGGAAGAAAGGTAGGTTATGGGCTACACATCCAGGGTGACAACAGCTGCAGCAACAACAAAACTAACAAAAAGGCCAGACCCAGCCATCGCCTGGAGCTGCTGGGAGAGCCTGGCGCCATCAGCACCTGCCCGGGCACCATCCGTCTTCCATCGAAAAACTCAGTTCCACAGACTGCATTTTTGTTGCAAATAGTTACACATTTATACGTCAGATTTATAACCCCAGAGGAAAAAATAATTCTATTCTAACTGGAATGCAAATATCACAGATCACAACCACAGGAACCCAGTAACACATCCAACAAGAAGCAGAGAGAGAAAAGGAGTGTGAAAGGACAGTGTTTCCTTGTGATATCATGTGAAAGGACAACACTTACAGCTGCTCGGAGAAGAAACAGACATGCATGGATCACAGTGAGGGTTACAGCGACAGGCACCAGGAGCTGTGTTCTAAGTGCTAAAGATGGGAAGAAAGAATGGGGGAGAAAGGGAGGAGAAGAAGGAGAAAAGAGAGCAGGAGAGATAAAGAGGTGAGAGAGGACAAGAGAAGAAGAGGGGGAGAGGGAGATGGAAGACAAAGGAAGGGGAGAAGATGAGGGGACAGGAGGAGAGAAGAGCCAGGCAAAGAGAAGAGAGACTGGAGGAGAGGGAAGGAGGTGGAAACAGGGTGGTAGAGAGAGGCTACAGAGATAGGGAGAAGAGAAGGAGAGAGAGATGGGAAAGAGAGCGGAGGAGAGAGAGGAGTGGCAGGAAAGACGAGGGTGGGGGAGAAAGAGAGAATTGGGTCTTCGTTAATGTAAACAGGAAAATATCAGATGGTGCTATTTCCACTGTTGAAAACTTCGTAACAAGCAGTTTCTGCTGCCAACACAGAGCCAGGTACCAACCTAAAGACAAGTTCCAGCTGAAGGCTTAGGAATGCTGGGATCTGAGAGCCAGACCCCTGCTGCCTGGATTCTCCTAGAACAGACCCCCACTGTCCTTGGTCAAGCTCCCTTTGAGGCACACAGCGTCTGTGCCCACACTACACCATGCTGTTCTCTGGGCAGGCAGCCTCCACACTGCCGAGCAACACATATGTTCTCAACACTTAATCTTGCTCCCCAAAGTCTGCTGAGTCTATTCTCCCACCAGCACCGTTAGCTTTGACCATCTGAGCAGCTGAGCCCAGGATGGCGCTGCTTGAGGGTCACTCCCCACCTGAGCAAAGCAACAGAACCTTACAGGCCTTCGCTTTCCTCACAGCACACTGCACCCGACTGCCACCCGGATCCAGCAGGCCGGGATGCACAGACAGCTTAGTGGTTAAGAGCACTTATTTCCAGAGGATCTGAGGTCAAGTCTCAGAACCCATGTTGCCCTCTCCTGGCCTCCATGGTCTGTGCACAAACCCACACAAAGACACACAGAGACACATGCCTTAAAACAACAGTAACAAAATTTTTTTTTAAATAATAATAATATGACATCCAAGGAGTCCCTGCAGGAACCTCTGGCAGTGAGGCCCATGGACACTCGGCTCAGTGGAGTCCGCGCCCTTGCTGGAGTGAGTATGCCCAGCATCACGTGGCAGCCAGGGTGTGCCCAGGAGCTGCTGCTCTCCCCATTCAGTGGTGGCTCATGGAGACAAAGCTCAAGAGGCTCCACCATCATAAACCACTCGAATATTTTCCTGTTCCCCAGGCCCAGATGTAAACTGTAGCCTGTGGCTAAATCCTGACTTTGAAGGTATAGAAGAAGATTAACCCTGAGGAGAACAAATCTGAGCTAAGATAAGTGAAGTGCCCACGACACTGAACAAACACGTTAAGGGCTGGGAGTACAGCTCAGTGGAGACACACCCAACAGGCAGGAAGCTCTTGGCTCAATTCCCAGCACCTCAACACAACAGCAAACAGAATAAATTTAAAATAAGCAACCTGTACAAGCATGGGCTGGAATAGTCTGTCAAAATGATACAGGAACTAGTTTGAAATCAAAACAGAAAATTCTGGCTGCATGTGGCAGCACACACCTGTGATCCCAGCACCCAGGAGGCAGAGGCAGGCGGATCTCTGTGAGTTCAAGGCCAGCCTGGTCTACAAAGTGAGTGTAGGACAGGCAGGGCTACACAGAGAAACTCTGTCTCAGAAAAAAAAAGGAAAAGGAAAAGGAAAAGGAAAAGGAAGGAAGGAAGGAAGGGAGGGAGGGAGGGAAAGAAAGCACCGAGTCAGATTTCCATAGGTTGTTTGAAGTACCTGAGGTTCGGGTCAGAAAGGAACACCAGGATTAGAAAAAGCATTTGTTTTCTCTCATGTACCGAGCATTAACTAGGAAAATGGTTTTAAGTCAAATCCATGATTGAAACTGAGTTATATTCCAGCCAGCTAGAAACACTCTGGAATCGGTGGTGTAGACAAGCAGGGTAAATCCCCGGGGTTAACAGCAGTAATCAGGGAAGGAGCCCACCATGCCCATTTCTTCACGCCTGCAGCGTGCAACACGGGGGTATTACATTCTTGTACAGAAGCTCTCCTCTTCTGCCGCTAAGATACAACCACTGCCTCCCTAAGACAGAGGACCTGAGTCCCTAAGGAGTGTGTGTGAGAGGGCAGCGCAGCTGCCCTTTGCTTTGAGGGACCTCCGCCTCGAGAAAACAACTCTCAAAATGACCCACCTTTCCTCACTGGTATTTTTATTATAAGGCTAACCGCCTAATTAGGCTTATAAATCCTACAGATTTCCTGAATGTGCCAAGTCTTTTCAGGGGCTTTAAGATGTAATCAAAATCTCTTTCTAATTATAACGCATTAAAAATCATGTTACATGAACGGTTTGAACGAGTGGAGTCACTGACGGTGTCTGCCAGAGCAAAGCTTCTGAACACACATACAGCGTG